TTATCTATTGTAACAAACACGAAAAACCAAATGGAATTAGACTCTGAAAAACAGAAGGAAATATGGGAACAATATCTTAAAGATTTGTTTGGTGATCGGAGAGCAGAAGGGCCCCCACAAATAGATACCGATGAATAACTAAGTATTTTAACCAAAGAAGTTATGCGGGCAATAAAACACGCAAAGAACAACAAAGCACCCGGCAAAGATCTAACAACAGCCGAACATTTTAAACACCTGAGTGATGATGCTGTCGGGAAATTAACCTACCTCTTTAACATTATATATGAACAGGGCACTCTACCGCATGACTGGCTAACATCCACGTAGCTCTTCCTAAAAAACAAAAAGCAAGGAAATGTGAAGACCATCGAACTGTATCCCTAATGAGTCATGCTGCTAAGATTTTTATGCGAGTAATTTATAACCGCATTCAGAATAAGTGTGAAGAATACCTGAGTCGTTCTCAATATGGTTTTAGGAAAGGTACAAGCACCAGAGAAGCAATAATGGGATTGACACTAATGGCAGAAAGGTATCTCGAGGTTCAAAAACAGTTGTATGTGTGCTTTGTCGATTATAGAAAGGCCTTCGACCGCATTAGACACGAAAAATTGATTGAGGTGCTAAAAGAAGTAGGGCTGGACGGAAACGACATATCTATAATAAGCAATACATACTGGAACCACACAGGATGTGTTCGAACAGACAACGTAAATACCAATTATGTAAACATAGAACGAGGAGTGCGTCAAGGGTGCATTCTGTCCCCTCTTCTATTTAATGTCTATGCCGAAAATATCATCAGAGCTTCTCTTAAAGATCGCCCTGAAGGTGCCAGAGTCAATGGAATCATCATTAACAATGTAAGATATGCCGATGACACCGTAGTATTAGCAGAAACAGAAGACCAACTAAAAATATTAATGAACATACTATCAGAAGAAAGTCACAGACTAGGTTTGGATATTAATCTTTCCAAAACCAAAATCATGGTATTCCACAAGAACCCCCATGAACAAATTACACCCAACATACAAATCAATGGTATCACCCTTCAGAGCTCTTAAAGCTTCATATACCTGGGCAGAGAGCTAAACTAGACCACTCAAAAGAAATTAGAAGACGTATTGAAATAGCAAGATCTGGCTTCATGAACATGCGTAAAATGCTCTGTAACCCCAAGCTATCAATCACAATAAGGTTAAGAACACTAAAGTGAATTCATTCGAAATGTGGATGTACCGCCGTATGCTAAGAATAAACTGGACCAGCAAAACTACAAATGAAGAGGTACTGGAAATAATGAACACACGACCTCATCTGGTTAATACAATCAAAATTAGAAAGACGTTATATCTAGGACACATAATGCGCCATAAGGAATTTAAGCAGCTCCAGGTAATATTAGAAGGCAAAATCGAGGGTAAAAGGGGTATAGGAAGAAAGAAGAAATCCTGGCTCCGAAACATCAGAGATTGGACTCACACAACAGGAAATGACTTAATCCATCAAGCCCAGAATAGAGAGAAATTTGCCATATTGATCGCTAACCTCAATAGAAGGCACTTATGAGGAGGAGGAGAATTAGTATTAGAACAAGGAAATGGAAGTTAAAAATGTTTGCCCATGCAATTGATTATATTTATGTGCTAACGCTTGGTTAGAGTATAAAAAACGTCTACTGCTTTAGAGGTTGAGAAGAAGAGGATTCTCTACATTTCAGAAAATATATTGGAGACAAAAAGAGTCCGATTGCCTACGATTCCGGAACGACAGTCAGGGCCATTAACTTTGAAAATCCACAAGTGTACCTTGGTTGAAACGCACCCTGTCAAAGAAGTACGATGAGATGGACGTCATTATTGGCCACTCTTCTTCGTCTACTAGTGCCTATCCTCTATGGATGTTGGCTACCACAATGGCATATCGTATTTTATTAGCAGCTGTTCTAAATAGGTCTGTGGTGGTCATACCTGTCCACTGTGTCAAATTCTTAAGCCAGGATATTCGGCGGCGTCCTGGTCCTCTATTTCCTTCTATTTTCCCTTCTAATATCAATAGTAGAAATCTGTATTATTTTTCATTTCTCACTATATGTCCGAAGTATGCTAACTTTCTGTCTTTAATGGATTTCAAGAATTCAGGTTCTTTTTGTAAGCGTTGCATTACTGCGTCGTTAGTTATATGATATACATATGATATTTTGAGCATGCGACGATAGCACCACATCTTGAAAGACTGCAACCGTCTGCAAGACGCATCAGTGAGTGTCCATGCTTCTGCTCCATACATAGAACAGAAAACACACAACAGTTAAGGATTTTGAGTCGGAGATATCTGAGAGGTTAATCTCGTGTGAGTGACCCTAGCTGTCTGTGATATTCCATCCTAGATATGTTATTTTTTCTGTTCTATCCAATACCTTATTGTCTGCCATAAACTTTGCATCTGTATCTTGGTTTTTGCTTAAGATCATAATTTTCGTCTTCTTATTATTAAGTTTCATTCCATATTTTCTACCGATATTAACTACTTGATCTATCAGTCTTTGTTATCCTTCAGCACTACCCGCAACAAGGACAGTGTCGTCTGGATATCTTAGATTATTTATTACTTCACCGTTAACAATCACGCCATCAGTCGTTTCTCCCAAAGCTTCTCGAAGTAGATGTTCAGAGTACGCATTAAATAGCAAAGGCGAGAGTATGCAACCTTGTCGTACTCCTCTTTGTATTGGGACTTCATCGGATAATTGATTGTCTACTTGAATCTTAGCTACTTGTTTTCCATAGAGATTGGCTATTATTCTTATATCTTTGTCATCGATGTTTGCGATTCGCAAAGTTTTAATAAGCCTCTCATGCTGTACTTTGTCAAATGTCTTTTCGAAGTCAATGAAACAGGCAAAGATATCTGTATTAACATCTCTTGCTCGTTGTATGAATACTTGTATGCTAAAAAGTGCTTCTCTTGTGACAAGACCGCTGCGAAATCCAAATTGTACATCAGCAATAGCCTACTCCAATTTCTTGTATATGCGAACATGGATGATGTTTAACATTGGATGTCTAATATTGATGATAATCTAATGCATCTAGATGTAAATTGACTGGTTATAAGGACAAATCACGAATGACATGGGACAAATGTAATGTTCTTCTCTGTATAAGTAAAGAAAAAAATTGTTTTGTAAGATACCATACATTACTTATTGAATAAAATACTTTAGTTTTTAATTTTTTGCCAGTATTAAAAAAAAATATTTAATATTTTCACTCAATTGGCTCACAATATTCTTAAATGAGGACATTGAGAGATTTAGCTTAAAGAAATTTAATTCGTGAACAAAACCACTTTTTCTCTTAAAAATAATTATTGCGTAATCTAAGCAGCGTGCTTTGAAGCAAACCAGTATAACACAGTTCTTCAAAGTACATCAATGTACCTCTAAACTTTTGTCATCGTTATAGAATAGCAGTTAATTAATAATAATTGATAAACACTTAATAATTCGAAGTTTTATTTATTTTCTCTCATAAATTTTGAACTATTTGATATTTTAAACCCTCAATAATTCGTCAACAATAATCAATATTTTAAGATTCCCTCGAGTTTCGAGTTAACAAGAGTTGACTGTTACTAATTACTATTTAACTGGGAATAAGTCACAGTTAAAGATAAAAATACGTTTATTGACGTTTCAATTTCCACTTCGGAAATCGTTCTCAAAATACAAATAGTAAATTATTTATAAGCTTTAAAAGTAAATTATTTATAATTTACTGTTTGTATTTTGAGAACGATTTCCGAAGTGGAAATTGAAACGTCAATAAACGTCTTTTTATCCGAAGTGGAAATTGAAACGTCAATAAACATATTTTTATTTTTAATTGTGGCATATTCCCAGTTAAATAGCAATTAATTTAAAATGCCACAAGAAAATAGCTTCAGAACAATATTGACTGTTATCGTTTAATTTTTTTAAAGAGTTTAGAAAATAAACGTTTTATTCATAAAGCCACAATTATTTGAAAAAAAAACTATTTAAACATGGTGACTTAACGTGGTGTTACACCTTGGTAAATGCAAATGCTATAATGTTCTATTTTTTATTGGTATTTCAGTAAGTATAGAGGTTCTTCAACATACATTCTAAAACTGATCAAACCCATCACTTCGTATTTTGGGAACATTCATTATTTTGCAGTTTTCTGTATATTCCACTCAGAAATTTGTACATGCTATGTTCTTATTTCTTATAAATGTTCTACTAATACTTAAGCAAATCCAGCTTTTCAGCTCTGTCCATAGATTCAATACAAAATTTTATCACTTCTGGTGAAGCTATGTGAATATATTCTTTGGTGGGTTTTTTCCATCTTTTCAAACCACTTTTTTCCACTTAACCTCAAAAGGTTAGACATAAAAAATTATGTGCTCTAGTGATTCTAATTTGTTTACTTATGTTAAAAATTGAGAATATTTCTTCGCGTAATTTCTACCTAACTTAGTTTCAGAAATTTGTTGTTTGTCCTTATTTAAGCTAAAGTTGTAATAATAGAAATTGCTGGAATTTAAATGTTATGTTCTACATTAATTATTAATATATTTGTATAAAAGAGAGGCAGTGATAAATTTATACTGTGAATATTCACCATACAGCATGTTTTTATATAGTGGCAATATTTCCTCTCAAATACATCTGAAATGTCAATTACATTGTAGATTTACTATTCTGGGATAGATACGTTTTTCCTTAGTTTTATCTTAATACCGTGTATCAAAAATTAATATTTTAAGGAAACTAATATAATAAATTTCATTAAATCGAAAACTATTTTTACCGTTATGGATACATTGATACGAAACCGCAAATGTTTTGATAAATTTAGTTAGCAGTATATTTTCACAGACATGTTATCCTCATAATCAATATTTGCGGTATCCCTATCATGTATATATACAACTAAAAATGGATATCTCAAAATATTGCCTCAGTGAACATGGTCTTATTCAATTTAAATTCGGTCATACTGTTGACCCTTGTTGGTAGCACCCTCGTAACATCTCGTAAGGGTAAGTCTTTTTTGTTTATTATACCATTAATATTTACCATTAATTTCGATTACATAGTTTAGAGTTTATTTTCATTGCTTTACTATTTAATAATTCGTAATATTTGTGTCTCAATATTGTTATCAACATTTAATTGTTTCAATTTTTTATCATATTGTCATCAAATTATCGTCACAAAAGTCTTACATGCTATTTTATGTCACTTTCCGTCTCCTTCATTTCATTAATTTCGTTCTAAGTTTACTTCACAAATCTCCATTATATTTCTTCATTGTTCTCTAATATAGATCCTACGTTCGTAAAACTATGACTTTTACTAACCATTTCCCATCCATCTACCATCTTATTTGTAGTAGTAATTTTACTTTGGATTGAAAATTACAGATACCCTTCTTTTGTTCTACCAAGTTTTTAACCTTTTTTTTAATAACTTATTTCCACTATTTCAATTTTTTTCAATGTCCATTCAATATTTCATACTAACACAACTTCAGTGGTATACATAAATACCAAGTGATGTCACTTGTTCTCTGATATCTGATATAAGACTGTTGAAAATAATATTAAGGACTAAGTACTAAGTTTTTTGTTTAAATCCTACTTTTACATGAAATTATTCCATTTTTCTCAACATTACTTCTTCCAACACTTTTTTTATTAACCTCATATTTATTACAATCTATATGCACAATCTCAACCTAAATATTTAGGTAGATAATAGACAATAAGCAACAGGACTGACAATTAAAGTACTATGACATGCAGGGAGGCATCCAGTAATGTACCCCTTTTTAAAATTTAGTCTTTAATATTGATTATCTTTGACACATATTTATATATAATACATATACATTTAGGATTAATCAATTAACTCTAAAGGAACTTTTCGTTTTAACCTTCGAACTGTATGTGATTTATTCACTAAACTTTTTGCGAACACATTCGGGTGCACTTTAAGTTTCTTTGTATGTTTTTTCGAGCACTTTTTGTTATCATTGCTTTATTGTTTATGAACCATGGAACTCCTAGTATTGTTCTTAATATTTTGGATTGAAATTTTTGTATTATTTCAATTTTGGAATGTGGCGGTTCCTCATTGTTCTAGTCCATAAGTTCAAATTAGTTTCAGGATCGATTTGTAGATCAATATTTTAATTTTAGTTGATAGTTTATATTTTCTGCCTAATATCCAATACATGTTCCTCAAGTTATGACCCAGTTGTTTTCGCTTAGTAATTATATGCTTTCTTCAGTTTAATCTTCTGTCCAATTACATAACTCGACATTTGACTTCATCCTCTTGTGGGATTCCTTTACCGTTTAAGTATATATTCAGACATGTTTCCCTACCCATGGTAAATGTTAGGTGTAGTGATTTATTCTCATTTGATTTAACTCATACATATTGTCATCCATTGTTGTGTTTTATTTAAAAAGATATTTTGTAAAATTTCTAAGGCTATTTTGTAGCATTTTCAATTTCATTGATTCTTTAAAGTATATTGAAATCCCCTCGTATATAAAATATATTGAAATCTCCTTATATATGTTTAAAAAATAAAACGAAGAATTTTTTCAGTATTTGTTAATTCGTATCTTTCAAGTTAAAATACGCAAAAGTGTTTTCAATAATTGTATTTGCATTGCTAGATGTTAAAATAAACCATTTTAGAGTTGTTTATTATTTTAAGTTTTTCGGAAATTTGTTTTAATGTTTTATTCGAAGGCGCATTATAATTTTTATACGTTGTAGAAGTGGAATCTTTTACGTTTTAATTTCGTTGTGTTTTCTTATGTCAGCTTTTGTTTTGTTTTCAATTTATATGAACGAATTCTTAATTTCGTAATTCATACTTGGGTCGTCGTAGTGTTAGGTATGGATCTTAATTCATGCTTGGGTCCCCGAGCAGTTCGTTAGGCTCAGGTATGGATCCGAATTCATCGTTGAATTTGTGGTTTTCTGTTTTTGGCTCCTTTTGTGGAAATAAGTAGCAGTAGTGGTGGATTTTTATCTATTATGAAGTGACCGGCATTAATTTGCCAAAATTGGTGAAGTTTTCGCTCGATGTTAATGTCATTTTAGAAAGAGTGGCCACTGTTTCGTTTTTTTGGAGATTTTAAGATGTTTGAAAAGTCTAGTTTCTGTTGAAAAGTTGAACAAGTTTAGTTCCTGTTTTTTTTAGAGTTCCCGTTTTTCCAAGTGTACTAGTTCCAGCCCCCAATGGATAAAGCTCTTCGCTGATGATGTCCGGATATATACTCCAGAGATGTAACAAGTTTTTTTTTTTTCGTTAAGTTTAAATATGTGAATCCAGGTACCTGTTATTGTTTGTTTAATTTCAAAGTAAAGACAGATATTCTTTTAGAACAATAATTGCTTTCGTTAAAATTTAGAAATTGTAACATTTAAAAATTGTAATGCGGTAACATTTTTAAGTTGTATGTAGTATCTCCAACTCCTGGAGTTTGTAACCGGATGACACACGTAAGTTTTTTGTATTCTTGTATTTCTTCATGTTGTAACTGTTTGTAGTGACACAAAAATAAATGTTAAATTTTGTTTTCTTAACATTTTATTTATTTTTTTTAACTAACCCGTTTTTGATTTTTATTTGAAAAAGATATTTTTTCGATGTTTTATAATTATTTCCCTAGTTACAACTAGTGGTTGTAATAGGTATAATTAGGCACCTCAAGTGGCGCCTTATATTAAACTCCTTGAGGTGTTTCCTGTTTATTTTTATTTTGTTTATCCCAAGAGATTATTGACCCCTTTATTTCATTTTTTGTAGTTGCCCCAATCCAACCCCCTTATCTTTTACTTATCCACGAGCCCAGCTCTCCTACCAAACCCCGAGTGCCGTTCTCACAAGTAGCGATTATTTTGCTTGCCTTATCTGCACCCCCAATAACTTCTTCCTTCAATTTTCTACCCCCTGTATTAATGAACCCTTTGGTAGGCAAAATATTTTCGTTACAATTTTGTGATTTTTGTTAGATGATAGTATTGAGTATCATCCGTAAAAGTGACTATGGTAACATTTGTATCTGCGGTAGGTTAGCAGTGAATATAAATTATAATATGGGTCCTAGGACGCTTTTATGGGCACAGCGAGAATTTGTTGTATGCTTTTGTATTCGTTCTTATACTTTACTTGGAAATTTCTGTTGGTGATGTAGGACTTTAAAATTATATAGAAATTTTTTGGAAAATTCTGGTTTAGGTTACATAAGAGATCTTTATGCCAGACCTTATGAAATAACTGGCTAATGTCCAGAAATACCGCTGAGCAGTACCTATTATTTTTAAAGTCTTCATTGATTCCCCTTACAATTCTATGTACCTGTTGTATTGTTAAATGTTCTGTTATGAACCCAAATTGGTGTGATGGTATTATATTTTTATTTTCTAGTATAGGCATTAGCCTAGTGTCTTCTTCTTCTTTTTTTTGATGTAGACATGACTGTCTGCTTTTTAATGTGACTCCAGTGTTTTCATCTCTGCTGTGTCTAACATCCATTTTGTCTTCTCTGTGTCAGGCCATGTTTCTGCCGCGTATGTCATTATTAGTCTATGACTGTTTTGTAAATTCTGTAGCTGGATAATGTGATACCTACATATTTAAACTCCGTCACTTGTTCTATTATCTGACCTTCAGGCTCCAATTTATATCATAGTAAATTTGCTGTTGTAACCACGTATTTTGTCTTTTTTTTCACATGTTTTTTCTGACGGCTATATTAAATTGGTGCAGCATACGTTGTAAATCGTCTTCACTTTGAGAGATTAGTATTGCATCATCTGCATAGCAGATTATTTTAAGTTGTTTTTTTCCCATTTGGTATTCTTTTTTAGTTCTTACTTTTTTTTATTATTTAATCCATAATCAGGTTGCACAATAGAGGACTCAGGGAATCTCCCTGTCTTATACCATTGTCAGCTTCAATAAGGTTGGTTAGCTCTTTTTACACTTTTACTTTTATTGTGTTGGTTTGGTAAATATTTTCGATCGTTTTGATTATTCCTAGAGGTATCTCTCTTGGGTACAATAAGTGTATAACGTCCTTTAATTTGACCCTTTAATAATGCCTTCTTAAGGTCCACGAAAAATAGATATGTCGGTTTGTTGTATTTAAATGATTTCTCTTGCAGTTGCCTTATTATAAATAGAGCGTCGGTGCATGATCTTTTCGACCTGAAACCTTGTTGTTCTTCTGCTAGTGCTATAATTTCATTCAGTTTATTTATTATCATTTTGGTCGTTAATTTTAGTGTTGTGTCTAATGAATTAATTCCTCTGTAATTTTCGGGGTCCGATGGATTTCCTTTTTTAAAGAGAGGCATTAGGATGCTTGACCTCCATTCTTGAGGAATTCTGTTTTGTTCTATTATTTTTACTTCAAAAAATGTAAGTCAAAACAGCTGTTGTCGTCGCTGTATGTATGTGGTAACCATGTTTTCTATTTTAAATATTTGATGTGAATTATACATATGTATAAGGGTTAGACCCAAGATGTGTGGCCTAGAGAGCCCGATCTTTGTTTTTTAATATGTTGTTTGTCCACAATTTTCCTTCTATGAAGTATTTATTGCCTAATTGACGATAGCTCTGATGATGACATTTATTATGTCGAAAGTATACTCAGCTTAATTAATAAATTATTTTACACACTATCAATTTTATTGAAAACATACAAAACCTGCTTACCAGTTAGACCTATTTAGAAGTGTGTACAAGTCTTACAGTCTTTTTCAATCCTCTCTTTCTTCCCAAAATTTATTTCTTCGTTTGTCGTCACCTCTGGTATTAGTGATTCATTAACGTCACCTTTAGCAAATAGGGATCGAAATTAGTCTACCCCTGTGTCCTTCTGAATGTGTTTCATTTTTATTTGTTCGTTCATCTCTTTTCTTTTTAGTCTGATCATTCACCATATTTCTTTTTGTGTTTCGTAGAAGTCGTGTTCCATCTGTTTTGAGAAGCTCTGCTAGTGTTCCCTTTTTATTTGTCCAACTAAAGTACATTGTAGACGATATTGCTACCCAACAACTCGGTGATGGTACGGTCATGTACAGAGAATGTCTGAAGAACGTTTCCCAAAACAAGTTTTAATGTAGACCCTTTACGGTAGAAAAAAAGAAGAAGACCCCGTCTTAGTTGGAGAAAAGGTATCAATCGAGAAATGAAATACAGAGACATAGAAGAAGACTTATGGATGAATCGAGAGGAGTGGCAACTGGGTATCGGAAGACGTAGGAGAACATTTTAAACCGATCTTTATATATACTAAAGTATTCGTTTCATTTCTGATTCGTTTATACTGGTTATATGCCTGCTCTATTTATTGGGTTCTGTATTGTAAAAGACTTTTTTTCTTTTCTTCACATTTTGTCTTTACTTCCTTTTTAAACCATGGTGTTTTCTTTTTTGATATAAGTGTTTACTTATATCAAAACTTTGATACTTTCCTTTGTTACTTTCCTTTCTCTAAGTGATTGTGTTGCTGCGTTAATTATGTTATTTCTAAGTTTTTCCCAGCTTTCCTCGATGTTATCGTGATCTAATATTTCATTTCTAGCGATCTTCTCTGATATTATTTTTCTGAATAAGTATTCCGTGGATTCCGTATTTAGTCCTTCGACTTTGGTTTTTGTTTATGTTGGTGCCGCTCTCTTGGGTGTGAAGTATTTCAGGATGATTCTTATTGTACATAATACTACTCTATGGGTGCTACCTACATCTGCTTACGTCTATTGTTTTTGATGGATATATATCTCTGTTCGTTATAACATAATCTATCATAGATCTTTGTTTACGGGTGTTTTTTGTGTGACTGTATCTTTGGCATGTAGTACATTGTATTAACTCTATAGTTTTGGAGCTTCGACATCAATTTTTGCGTTGAGTAAATATTTCATCTTATAAATTTTTTTACTATTTTCTTGAATTTTTTGTCGTATATTCGTTACTTGTAGAATGATATGTCCTTCGCTCCCTATTTCTTTTTTATTTCTTGTAGATATATTCACTATGGCATGAACATAACGAATCACTACTCTAAAGGGTTTCTTGATTTTTGCGATATTTATGATATTCGGTTTTTTATATATGGATAGATAGGAATATAGATAAGTAAAAAATATTGACCAAACTCGTAACGTGAATACAAAGGAAATTATATAAAAATTACGTGTTTCTGACTAGTCAGTCCTAATTGGCATTAGTATGGTGCAGCCAAGCTAGAAAAGGAGAAAATATCTTGGAAAATATTACTACAGGAGCAATTTGTGGCAATAATGTCAGAAAACCCTGCATTTTGGAGCTACAACTAACACAGCCACGGAGGAAGCTACAACCACCTGAGAAAATGAATGCCAGAATGTTTTAAAAATAAAAAATGATGTTAATTAAAGCGAGCACTAGTATAAACATAGATAAGGAAAAATTTTTGCCAAAACTCGTAACGTGAATACAAAGGACTTACCTACCTGCAACATACTGATGATGACTGAGGACCAACTAGTCAAAAGTGCGTATTTACCCATTTTTATTTTGCCAATAACTTTTCCTCATATATGTTTATACTAGTACTCGGATTAATTAACATATTTTTTATGTTTAAAACATTCTGGCGTTCCTTTACATTAAAAAGATATATATTTAGTTTTTCCTTGAATTTTTTTCTTAAGTTTAGTTCTTTTTGACAACCAAAATTTGTTTTAGATCTATTTTTTATATACCACTCTTTATATACTGTACTCTTTTAAACATTTTTGGACTTCATTCGCTCTCCACAAGGTTTCATTTTCTTCAAATTTCTTTCCTGAGGTTATTCGTAGTACTTCGATTGTAATATTTCCAAGCCATATATGTTTTGACAAAAGTTAATGACAAATATTTAAATAAATATAAATGTATTTAAGTTTTCACTAATGCAATGCAACTAATGCGGCACTACCCCCGCTTACATTGTTCTGTCACTAGAAAGAAAAAACTTTGGGATACTGTTTATTGTCCAGAATACAGTTAATATGGCAATAACTTAAACTTATTTTTTATCCTTTCGACACAAAATTATTTTAAATATTTTATATTTTTTAGTGCCAAACTGGGAAGAGGTTTTCCGTAATTACGAGTCACCAGTTATTCCTCTTAGACATTGGGGAAATAAAAGCTACTGGATAGGCACCAGCTTTCAGGTATTTCAGTGTTTTTAACTATATTATATTGTTAACTATATAATATAGATTTCAGTTGTTAGTTGAATATTGTTCATATTTCATATTTCTTTTACTCATGTAAAGTTTTTCTTGGAACACCAACAAACGACAGATTTGATTTGGCGACTGAATTAATTTCATCATCAAAAATACTACATCTGCCACTTTGGCGGTGTTGCAAGAAATAGTTTACATGACTTAATACTGTATACGAATAAGAAATAACTTCTCTGAGAATTATCTAGCAGTCTAGCAGTAGGATCGACCTATGGATGAGGAGTGCGGCAAAAGATGGAGGCTTGGGTCTCAGTGTTACTCCTCCATAGATCCCTACGAAAAAAACAAGTACACTTAAAAAGCCGGAATATAGAAAAATTTAAAAGTTTTGCTATACCAACAATTTACACATCGAAATTATTGGCCCGAACATGGCTGCAAAATAGATACAAAAACCGGACCTTACAAAGTAATCGGAATATTTATTTTATATAGTTTTAGCAATAAAACAAACAAGGCAGATACGAATGGCCCTCTTACAAATAAATATATTGTACCGCGGCACTTTTCTGATGTAAAAGTGGTTTAGGTTAAATTAGCTGAAACTTTATTTACAAATATGGGAACAGAAAGTGCATTATTTTACGTTCTATATATCAGCTATTTTTTCTAGTTAATTTTTAAGTTTATTTTAATTAAAATAATTGCTTTTAATATTCTTTTTAGGCTACTTGGTTTGAAGCACTATCCTTTTGCAATCAAATGCACATGCAGCTACTTACCATCAACTCTAATGAAGAAAATGAAGTAATCTACAGATATATAAGAGAAGCCAGTAAGTATTTTGTCAAATGTACCCATATGCAAGCTTAAAGTGAATATGTAATAAAAAGTAATGAGAATGTTGTACCTTAGATGATGAAGCATTTAATTTGTTAAATTGTAAAATGGTATTTTGTTTTGATTTTATCGATAGTTTGGAAAAATTAGAGGAAAGTTTATTACCGGCAATTTGTCATTTTTATCAAAAATTATGTAATAAATATATTCTTCTTGTTCTTCCTTTTTATAAGTAATTATATATGATCTCTTGCTATTTTGACGATACGTGCCCCTTTCATTCTGCTTATGTGACTATTTATATACGTTTATACGCTGTATTTTCATTTTCTTCTTAAGTCTTCACTTCTGTTTCGATCTCGTGTCTGTTTCGCCATATAGTATTATTAAGGCACCCTGTCAGTCTATTTACTTTTTGCATTTGGTCTCTTACTTCTTTTTCCAGGTCTGCGTAACTTGATAGTATAATTCCAAGGTGTTTTATTTCCATTACTTGTTTCTATCTGGTTATTTCTTTGCTAATAAATGTTTTAGGGTTCTGAGATGAGATTTTCATATTAAATTCTTTTGCTCTTATGTTAAATCTCTAGGCCAGTATTTGCAGACGATCTTGATCTTGGGCTTCCAATATTGCGTCGTCTGCGTAACAGAGTATTTTTACTTCTTTGTTCCTCATTCTGTATTTTTTTCCTTTGTTAACGCTTTTGGTGATTTCATACATGATTAAATTGAAGAACATAGGGCACAATGAGTCCCTCTGTCTTCTTCCGCTGCCCATTTCTGTAGGTTCTGTAAGTTGTTCATATATTCTGATTTCCATTTTGTTGTTTTGATAGATGTTTTCACTAGTTTTAATAATATTTAGGGGAACTTCTCTATTATAGGAACGATGGATTACATCTTTAGGTCTTACTCTGTCAAATACTTTCCTTTCACAGACCATAAAAATTCTGTTCCATTTCTTTAGAAAATCATTGCCAGTGATCATTTTTTATTTGTCTTACAAGTGCATCTGTTTCGTTTCATTGTTTCGTAATTATGGTATGCCTCTTGTGTTTTGGTTGACATGTATTTCAGGTAAGCTTTGTTCTTTTCTTTATACGTTTCCTTAACTTCTGTACAAAACCATAAAGTTGTTCGCCTTGGGAATGATTTATTTTTATTTATATTTCTTTCACCAAGAATTTCCTTGGCCGAAGTTAAGATATTAGACTTTATTTTTGCTCTTCTTTCTTTGATTCCATCACTTTTTGTGATATATGTGTTTCTGCTTATTCTTCGATTATTCTTTTTTGGGATAGGCATCTTGTGGAGTCATTCTGTAAGCTTTCGACTTTATCTTTGTGGTGTATTTTATTGTTTTGTTATCACATCTTCTTCTTCTTCTTCGTCTAGCCATTCACGTCCACATCTGAACATAAGCCCCTTCAAGTCTTCCTTTCCATTGGTTTTTATTGTACGCTACTTGTAGCCAATTTTTCCCGGCAGTCCTTTTCAGATCATCTGTCCATCTCATAGGAGGTCTGCCTCTGGGTCTTTTGTGTTGGTATGGTCTCCAGGTTAAAATTGATCTGTGCCATTTGTTTAGATCGCTCCTAGCTACATGTCCAGCGTATTCCCATTTCAGCTTTAATGCTTTTTGCACCACATCGGTGACTTTGGTTTTCTGTCTTATCCATGTGTTTGTTTTCTTGTCCTTAAGTGATATACCTAGCAGTGCTCTTTCCATCGCGTGTTGAGTGACTCTAAGTATATTCATATTCTTTTTTGTGATTGTCCATGTTTGTGCCGCATAAGTTAATATCGGAATAATGCATGCATCAAAAACTTTAGATCTAAGATGTAATTGAATTTGTTGATTTCCGAGTATATAGTTCAGTTTACCGAATGCTGCCCAAGCTAACTTTCTTCTTCTTTTTATTTCTTCAGTCTGAATTTCCCTATTTAGGATTATTTTTTGTCCCAAGTATATATATTCTTCAACTTTTTCTATAACTTTATCGTTTATTATTGTCACGGTGTCTTCGGAGTGCATGACTTTTGTTTTGTTTAAATTCATTTTCAGTTATATTTTAGAAGATTCGGTATGAAGTTCTACAAGCATGATTTGCATTTCTTGTAGGTCAGTAGCTATCAGGATTATGTCATCTGCAAATCGTAGATTACTGAGGTAGCGGCCATTGATGTTTATTCCCTTATATTTCCAATTTAGGTTTTTAAAAACGTCCTCCAAAACTAAGGTGAACAGTTTGGGTGATAAAGTATCTCCCTGTTTGACTCCCCTGTTTAATGGTACAGGGTTTGTGTGTTCATTTTCATTTAGGTAGTATGTAGCTGTAGCTTGGTTCATAGTTTCTTTTATTAAGTTATCTGCTATCTATTCTACAGTTTTGCATTGCGTTTATTACGGCCGTGTGTTCTATGGTATCGAAAGCTTTTTCGTAGTCTACAAATGCAAGGAAAACTGGAAACTTGTATTCGTTACATTTTTCTATTAATATTTTTGTGGTTAACAGGTGATCGGAAGTTGAATAGCCTTTTCTAAAACCTGCCTGTTCATATGGTTGGTATTCGTCTAATTTCCTTGTTAGTCGAGTAGTTATGACTTTGGTGAGTATTTTAAACAGGTGTGACAGTAGGCTGATGGGTCTGTAGTTTTCCAATTTTCGACTATCACTTTTCTTGTGCAATAAGATTACTTTAGAGTTGTTCCAGCTCTTAGGGACTTTGCCCTGATGTAAACAACTGTCCACAAGCTTAGTTACAATTGCAATTAGTTCCTTACCTCCTTCTAATATCATATCTGTGGTAATACTATCTTCTCCTGCAGCTTTATTTCTTCTTCATGTTTTCCAATGCTGTAGTTACCTCTGAAATTGTTACTTTTGGCATTATTTCTGATCCAACATTTTTTATTAATTTCCGTGCTGGTCTCATCTCATCATCTTGATCATCGTGATCTGTAAAGTTCTGTGTAAAATTCTTCTATTCGTGTCAGTATGTTTTCTCTACTTGTGATTTCATTTTCGTCTTTTTCTATTAATGATATCATCTGACGTCGTCCTAGTGTCGGTCTGAGACATTTCATACTCTTATTTTTTTCAATAGTTGTTGTTATTAATTTTTCGTTTTCTTTTCTTTTTTGTTGTCTGATTCCTTTTCTAATCTGCCTATTAAGTTCTCTATATTCGTCGGTTCCCCTTTTGTTAGATTTATTTAAGATCTTCCTTCTTTCTATTTGTTGTAATATTTCTTTGTCTAATTCATTGTTGTTGTTTTTGGTTTTTTCAGTTGCAGAAGGCAACTCACTGTTTCAGTAATAAGGTTATTCAAATCATCAATATCATTGGAGTTTATCTGCTGCATGCTAACTTGATTTAATGCATGCACTATCTTTTTATTAAATTCACTATTTTTGATTTCTTCAGATGTCCATTTGTATCTTTTTTCATGTATTCTTTTTCTTTCTAGTTTTTTGTTAATTACTAGTTTTGTTCTTATTAGTGTATGATCGCTTCCTAGGTCAAACTGATTTAATATTGATACGTCTTCTACTAGGTTTCTATTCTTCGTTAAGATATAATCTATTTCATTCTTTGTTATCACATATATTGTTATATATTATATATTATGTTACATATATCGTTTCCTATTTCTGCTGATATTAGTGCTCTCACATTCAAGATTTGAGATGGGTATAACTCTTTATTCGAATATATTCGAATAACTCTGTTCAGAATATAATATATCATAGATCTTTGTCTTCTAGTGTTTTCAAAAGGATATTTGTATTGTCCTTTCTGAGGGAAAAAAGTATTATTAATATGTATTTCGTTTATGATACACAGGTCCGCCAGAAGATCTCCGTTTTCATTTCTGATATTTTCATTACATCGTTCTTTTATACTTGGATCGCCCATATTGATTATATATTCATCATTTGGGGTCTCTTTTATTACAGTCTGACGGTGTTCATAGAAGTTTTCATAGTAAATGAACTCATCCATGCAGCCTGTGAAGTAGGTCTGAATATTAACTGCCAATGATGATGATGATGATTAGTGACTACATGTTCGCTAATCGAGGAATATGCCGCTGATTATCTTGGCATAGTGTGTAGTCGTCTGGGGGTCATAGTGCGACTGTGTTTAGGAAGCAATTCCTTAATCTTAGATTAGACTGTTCCTGTAGTGGTGATATATGTACTGGCTATCTCTTATCGAACTCTTGTTTGAACATTTCGATATAATTTGCGGTCTTTTATTCTGCTTTGGGAGGAACAAAGTCCGTGGATGTATACAGGCACGAAAGAAGTGCAGGCTTTATGCACCTTATAATTATACTTGCATGTACAGATGTGCTACACACCGGGCGTATTTTCCTACAGATTAGCATAGGTATTGTGGTGTTGTTTTGAAAACTAGGGTATGTACCCCATCGACTGCATATGAATTTTCTGAGAAGGTTATTCCTGTACGCAACTTTTTTTTCGTTTTTTTTGAACGATGTTTACATGTAAGTGTTCTATCCAGTACCAATCCAGGATATTTTGAACTGGGTGTACATTTCAGATCCATTCCACTCCACGATTCTTTTAGCTGACGATTTGCGGCCTTGTTTCTAAGGTGAAAGGCGCTGGTGGACAGTGCCGCTTTTAGGTTAGCATCTACTCTACAGAAGGTCTTGTCTTAATCATCTAATGCCAGATCGTCTGCATAAGAAGTATTTTGAGTAGGCAGGGTTGGGCTGATCGAAGGTATAAATACTAAATAGTATAAAAACGTTTACAATAAATGATATAAAAAAGCGCCATATTTTTGACAAATGTAAATTTGTAAGCAAATAAATTCTCAAAATATGAGAAACTGAAAAAATAAATTTACCAATTCGACATTTTTTTTCTGCAGTTGCTATTAATTAATGAATATTTAATTTAAAGTGTTAAAACTTTATTGTTTCTGTAGTCGAGAGGCTTGCCTGTTTAGTAGATCATCA